TACTTTATTCCAGTCATGCTTTTTCCTTCCTTCACCGAGCATGCTTTAAATCTGTTGCTCTTCTGCCATTCTGCGTTGCAGCCCGCCTCCTCTCCTTTCTCCTCCTCACTGTGGTCACTCAGAACCCTGTCCCAGCCTCCATCTTCATCTTCATTACTATCAGCATGTTGACTCTGGGGTGGTTGTTGTGCAAAATCCTGTCACTGCTGGGATTCTTTCTGCTATGATGGGTCATTGGAGTCTTAACTGCCAAACAGTTAGATTTATTTCTGTGTTTCAATAAATCATGTTCAGTTTTTCCACATGATCTCTCCTTATTGAATTGTTTTTGTAGATAAGCTTCAAGCTAGCAAGCAATACCTAAATCAAAAATATTATCACCAGAAGTGAGAAACTGTCTGCAGCTCCAGCTGTGTGCTGCATGTATTAAAGATGACTTCAGACACTGTCTGGTTGTCATGTCTGAAACAGGCTGTACAGTCACACAGATAAAAGACAGCAGTCATGTTTTTACAGGTGAGATGCTCAGCATTGCGTCCTCCAGGTCTTTATCCTCATCCGTTCCCTGTGATGGAGGCAACCATTAGATAAATATGTACTGAATTTATATTTCACGTCAACAATGTTATTAAAATATTATTAAAACAACTTACCAAGGGGTTGTTTAGTTGTGGCGTCTGTAGTAGCAGGCGCAGACTGCTGCTTCTTCCGCAGGTACTGCTGGAGCTTATGCATCCATGTTCCTTGACTGCCAACCAGCTGATCATCCTCAGAGGCTTCTGCTGCAACACTCACTCTGCTGGTCTCGTAGTTCAGAAGAGTCTTTATCTCTGTAAAGCTGAGGGCATACTGTACAAATTAATACAAGCTCTCCTTGCCATGCCCATCTTCCACAGAGGTCCCTGCAGCCTCTTGCTTCTGGAGATCTTTGATCAGGTTCATGGTGTACCCGACATCATTCTCCAGAAGACACCGGAAAGATTTCCCTTTAAATTTTCCAAACTGCAGGATGTACTCTCCCTGCACTTCTTTCATGTCAGAGGCATCCCCTCCTCTCTAATAGATGACAGTCAGAGCATCGTCCTCCCTCACAGGTGCAGACATGTCCTGAAGCTTGGGGTCATTTTTAATCCGTTGAGCTTCTTTTGACGGGTCCTGGAGAAGGTATCCAAGTGGCCCCTTGCGGAACACCACAGAGATTTTCCCTGGATATGGCGCAACTTTCTTCTGCATCTTGACATGCAGTGAAAAAATAAACAATTATATCAAACAAAATTGATTCCAAACACAAACAAAGACATTTCAGGTTATAATCTTGCTGCACATTGTGGCTGGGTTTAACAGCAGGATGCAGGAGAACAATAAAGACACAATTTGAAAGAACATTGACAACATTTGCAATAAAATAATTTTTTCCTCCAGGTATAACAAACTGTTCTGTCTGTAAATAAAAACCTTTCATGGTTGAATGATTATTGGCATATCACCAAAATTGTTGTAACTGCTTAGTAGTCATGGCACATAAGAATTGCTGGTAGATTATCAACATATCTATTTAAGCTATTGTGTTTATTCATACACGAGTGGGCATTGCTCATGTTAGTGAGATATCAAGACAGACTTTCGCATTGATAAGGTGACTGACCATTACAACATGAAAGCAATACATTTAAAGCAGGTTCAGTCATTTAGCATGTCATCTCATAACAAGCCACTTATCTGTTATTTAATTGTACCACATTATAGTAATGTCAGCGCCACAGCAATCAGAAACCTACAAAGTTTATTTAACAGTAAAACACGTCAATGAAACACGCAATTTATTTAAGGAGCAGGTTCATTCGTGATTTACCGTGCCACTTTACAACAGCGGATAAACCCCCACCGTCTTTAACTAAGCGATACAACTATTTCAATGCAACACGCCTATTACCTGTAATATACACCTGTAAATGTATTCTGTTGGTTTAGTCTTATTTCAAACGACGTTTCTTACCTTTGATCAATGAACGAGGATCGTTGAGATGTGTTGCGAGCGGTGAGTTACTTGTTTTCTCTCCCGAAATGTAAAAGTGGAGATTTTTTAAAAGTGCCGCCGCATCTCAAACTCGCAATAGCGCCGGAAGACCGTAGTGGCCAAAAATATATTACATCCGTAGTGGTTTAGCACTACCATAGAGAATGAATGGGAAACGGTTTAGGGCCTTTTAGCTAAACAATCCCAAGCTCCCG